AGTTAGTAAGCCTTCTGATATGGTTACAATTCAAGTTCCAATATAAGTGTTTTCCCTTTCTCTGTGATCATGACTGAAGCCAGTGGAGAATGATGGATGGATACAAACACACAGGCACATACATACACAGTAAGGAATCAGAGAAACATGATTCTCCACCTTGATAATACCAAGGAGCTCTGCCAGCTTTGAGATTTTCTTATTTGGCTCTTGGAGAAGTTTTCCAACCACCAGGATATCCTTTAAAGGCTCAGACAGTAACATACACATAAATAGGAGGGGCCATTAAATAAGGTAATTGGAAAGCTCCTTCCAAGTGGAATTTCAGAGGGCATGTCATTCATTCATTGATTCATTCAAATAAACCAAAAGTTTGTAAAACCCTACTAGGTGATAGAGACATAATGATCAAGAAAACAGAGTCCCTGGCCTCAAAAGTAACTCAGACTACTTGGAGAGACAAAAGTAAACACCTAATTTTAATGCAGTATCATAAATACTAAAATAGCAATGAGATGAATGACACCAGGAATCCTCTCAGGATTGCCTGGAGATTGGCTATATGGGATCCCTCTCTCCTCAGTGAGAGGGGCTGCACATGACCTCAACTTCCTCCAAGGCCTCCAGCTACAGAGAAGCTGGCATTACCAGCAACTCCCAGGAAAACTGACACCCAAGCTCAGCATTTGGTGTCAAGACTCCAGCTCCTTTTGCTCTTCTGAAAAGGCTGCTCTCTCATTTGCTCCACAAAAAGAGAGAGAAAAGGGGCCTGGTTCCCCCCAATATGTCCAGCTGCATCTGGCCCTTGCACAGTTCTCCCCAGGAGGTAAGTAGAACAGGAAACTGCATCTACTCCTGGTGTCCACCTGAGCACTGTACATGACATTTGAGGATTCTATGTAAGAATTCCCACCTTGTCTTGATCATGGATGCTTCTCAGAGGCAATGATGTCTAAAATAAATCCATCAGATTGAGAAATTAATTAGGTGAGGAGGAGGAAAAGCAAGATGAGAACATCTCAGGCAGAAAGAACACCAGGCTCGCAGACGTGAAGATGAGCAAGATTTAATGTGTTAGGGAACATGAGACTAGTTCAGCGTGATTGAACTATCCTGGGAGGAGAAAAATGAAGAAAGATGAGGCCTCATAAATTTGCAAAGGATATGCATGAATGAAGCCGTAGTAAAGGGTTGAGATTATACCTTTAAAGCAATGGAGGAGTGCTTTTGAGATTTTAAGAAGGGAATGATCTTGATCAAAATTGTGCTGTAAACAGACCACTCTTTCTCCAATATGGAGAATTGATTAAGAGGAACTAGATAGGAGATCTGATTTCTCATAGAATAATTCATTCAGTAAATGTGTATTGAGCACCTACTAGGTGCCAGGCATTGTTTTAGGTTCTGAAATACAGAAATGGAGAAGAGAGATAAGATCCTGGTGTTCATGGAGCTTCTTGCATTCTAGTGGAGGGTAGGCAGAAAACTAACAATCTCATTTTTTTCTTTTTTTTAATTAACAAATAAATTAAAAGGAAAAATTTCAAGTTATGATAAGTGATAATAAATTAAAATAAAACAGCGTGTTTGAGATTGGTCTTAGGGCTGAGTGGCAGGAAGGAGTCAGCCACATGAAAAAGACGTAAAAAGCATTCCAGATAAAGAAAATGGCTAGAACCAATGGGTATGTCTAGAAAGACCTGTACGAATTGATGAATGTAAAATCACTTAGAACAGTAGCTGGTATATAGTAAACACTATTTATTATCTATTACTACTACTACTACTACTACTACTACTACTACTACTACCTACTATTACTACTACTATTTTATTAAACTTTGATTAAAGTATAACATACATACGAAAACAAGCATAACTGTTGTGTGCTCAATAAACAACACATCTGTTAACTTGACAACCAGATTATGAAACATAACATCCCAAACACAGACTCTTTGTGCTCTCTTCTGTCTCTCCCTGTCCCCAGGGGTAACTGCTATTCTAGCTTCTAACAGTATAGATGAGTTTGCTTCTGTATTTTATTTAAGTGGAATAATACAGGTTGTACTTTTTCGTCTGGCTTCTTCGACTCAGCATTGTTTCTGAGACTCATCCATGTTTTGGATGTAGTTGTATATTATTCATTTTCATTACTATATGGTATCCCTCTTATGTAAATATAAAATTCATATATTCATCCCACTGTTTATTTTAATTTGGTATTTTTAATTTATTTTATAAATTATCAAAATATCACTAGGAAAGTAAATGGCTAAAAGTAGATATCTTTTTCATTGCAAGCTTTTCTGTTTTATTAATTTTTTACAACATATGCACAGATTACTTCCACGTATTTATTCAGAGTTAAGAAAGTAGCCACCACTCTACAAAACCAGCACCACAATCTAGTTATTATTTCTCTTTTTAGCTCTTCTGGTGTGTATTTTATAACTCTTAATTTTATATCTATTCTACCATTTTTTAATTTATCAATTTTAGATATTATGATATAATTATATTATTATTAGTCTATGAATGATGATGATTTAAGTCACTAACTCTGTTCTTAATTTTAGTGTTTTATTATTTTTGTGCTTTGTAAAGGAAATAATATACTCGAATTCCTTATCTCGTTTTTTTCTTTTTTTTAGATTCAAATAGAGTCTTTTATTTCCTGAATTTTTTCATCTTTATTGAAATATAATAGACAAACAGTTGCTTTGATTTACATTGTACAATTCAATGAGGTTTTTTTTCAATTACAGTTGGCAAACAATAATATACTAGTTTCAGTTCTATAGCATAGTGTTCAGAGATCCACATAACTCTCAAAGTGATCAACCCACTAAATTTGGTGCCCCTCTTCCCCCTTACATATTTATATTATTAACCATCTTCCCCATGCTACACTCTACATCTCCATGTCTATTCTGCAACTATCCATTTGTACCTCTTAATCCCTTTGCCTTTTTGTTGTCCCCCCAACTCCCTCCCATCTAGTATCCTTCTAAATATTCTCTGTATCTTTGAGTTCACTTCTGTTTTTTGTTGTTATTGTTGTTGATTTTGTTCTTTAGATTCTACATATATGTGACATCATGTGATATTTGTCTTTCTCTATCTGACTTACTTTATTCAGCGCAATACTCTCTAGGTCCATTCAGGCAATATCTTTTTCCATTTCCTTACTTTTAGTCTGTGTGAGTCTCTTGTAAGTAGCATATGTAAGGGTCTTTTTTTCTTATCCATTTAGCCACTCTATCTTTTGGATGGAGCACTTAATTCTTTTCCATTTGCGGTACTTGTTCATAGGAATGTAGTTATTACCATTCTTTATTCCTGTTTTTGATACATGTCTTTTCTTTTTAAAGAAGTCCCTCCAACATTTCCTGTAATACTGGCTTGGTGTTGACGAATTCCTTTAGCTTATTTTTGTCTGGAGGCTCTTTATCTGTCCTTCGACTCTAAATGATAGCTTTGCTGGATAAAGTATTCTTGGTTGTAGATCCTAGATTTTCATCATGTTGAATATTTTTTGCCAAGCCCTTCTATCCTGCACAGTTTCTTTTGAGAAATCAGCTGCCAGTCTTATGAGCACTTCCTTGTAGGTAACTAACTGCTTTTCTCTTGCTGCTTTTAAGATTCTGGTTTTCGGGACTCTCTGAGCTTCCTGGGGTTTTATATCTATTTTTTTTCACCAGGTGAGGAAAGTTTTCCATCATTATTTCTTCAAATAGCTCTTCGACATTTTGTTTTTCTTCAGGTACCCCTATGACACAGATACTTTTACCTTTTATAGTGTCCTATAGGCTCCTTAAATTATTATTATAGTCTTGACTTCTTTTTTCTTGCCATTCTGATTGAGTGTCCTTGGCTTTCTCATCCATTATATAGGTCATTTGATTCTCTTCTTTATTCACTTTGTTTATTCTATTTAATATACTTCTCACCTCAGATAATGTGTTCTTCATTTCTGACTGATTCCGTTTTATAATTTCCATTTCCATTTTTGTTTTTTTTAAATCTCATTGTTAAAGTTCTCTCTGAATTCATCTACACTTCCCATAAGTTCATTAAGCATCTTTATAACCAGTGTTTTGAACTCTGCATCTATTAGATTGCTTGACACCATTATTTCTGGTTCTCTGTTCTGTTCTTTCATATGGTTTCTGCTTCTTTGTCTTTCCATTTTGGCTGCTTTTCCATGTCTGTTTCTATGTACTAAGCAAAGCTCCTAAGTTTCCCGGTCTTATTAGTGTGGATTTGTGTAGTAGGTGTCCAGTGGCACAGTCCTGAGAGGGGTTCAGCTGCAGGCCAAATTTAACCCAAGCCTCTGCCCCTCTAGGGCCACTTGTTAAGATTCAGCAAGCAATTCCCAGATGCTGTGCTTATAGTTGCCTCAAACAGCCACAGCAGAAATCGAAGCCAGTTGTCTCCAGTGTGAATCTAGGCACTGCTCAGCAAGGAGCACCTGACTCACCTAAGACACATCTGGATGTGGCTTGGGTGGGTCCCGAGTTGGGGGAGGCAGGGTTTCAGGGAATCCGCTGGGCAGAGCGATCTCTGTTATCCAGTTTGATGACATCTCCACTATGGTGGCACTGAGTCCGCCCCCTGGAAGGGGAGAGGGCTGTACAGAGCGAGTCTAGCTTTGGCCCTCACTGCAACAACTCAGTGTCCCTCTGTCAGTCCCTGGTGACTCCTGAGCAGCTGGACCGGTGCTGGTGCTCAGAGTGAGCAGGTCCGTCCCTGCGAAAGTCCACTTGTGGACAGGGCCCCTTTAAGAGGCGTCTGCAGCTGCCGCTGCCACTGCTGCAGCCTCCGTCTCACTCAGCCGCTTGAGACTGGGCAGCCCCGCGTCCTTGCCCCATCCTACCTTCTGCCGCTGCAGGCGATTTCTTAGATTTCTCCCTAGTAGTGTGGCTTGTTCATCTAGATCCCAGGCAATTTTTCCTTGCTGTTTGATCCTTGTTTTCATCACAACTTTGATTTGGTCGCCAGAGGGATGAACAGAGCCTCTATCATCTACGCCATTTTTTGTTTTTTTGGTCTCACTTTTTTCTTATTAGTATCTATTAACTCCCTCTCTGTGAAAAGAAGAAATTGGCACCTAGGCTCTTACATCACTCTCTCCTCCATGCTACTATCCCTCACCTATTTTCTTGGCAAAATTAATAACATTATATTGTTTTGTAACCAGATCAAGTCGTTCATGCTCTGTCTATGGGTTGATTCTGAAGTTTAAAAACCAATATTACATTATGATGACTACCTAAATACTTAACACCGTTAGGTTAAGTGGTTTGCTGACTTATATTGTTTCTGCAGGTTCAATGTCAACCCCATGTCTGGTGCATAAGTTGCCCAGAATCATGCAACACACTCAAACAGCTTTCTGGTTTTTCCTATAGTTTCTGGTGCCTTAATTCACTTTCAAAGAACCTGAAGAAGAGCCAAGAACTCTCAGGCCCTGGTCCTTAAATTTGACCCAGTATATTCCATAGAAATCCCCTTTACATTTTTAGTGTTATAAATTCTCAGCCAAGTGCTGATTCCAGATCATTCTGTGGAGACTATTGATGTGAGCATGGTTCCAAGATCTATGCCTTATCATCCCCACAGAGTTGCTGTGTGGCTTTGCATGTTGGACTTGATGACATGTCCTCAGTTCTTTGTTTGAAACTCGCTTATTAATGGTGCCAACTCTATGATTCAGCAGTTTCCTAAGAGGCTTAAAGTTAGCCAGGTCCCAGCAATAGCCTGTGTCCTGGAGCAAGTTGCTGGCCTGCCTTCTTCTTCTTGCTCAGAGTTGAGCTTTGGGGCTTCTCAGGCTGGTCATATTTGTCATCCCCTTCCTAGTGCTTTATATTAGATGAATAAAGGCTGTTCTCTATGAGCTTGTGCCAACACCACAGGAAAAAAAAAAAGGACTATAATGCTTGGGGCATCTGCATCCTGAGGACAAAAGAAGTGATTTCTTTGACTTGTCCAATCATCAAATCTTCCCCAGGTAATTGTGGACTATTTTTATTTAATACTCGATGTGGGATGTCAGCATAAATTGGAATTCCAGAATTTTGCTCCACCATAAAAACAATGATAAAACTGGCAAAAAAAAAAAGAAAGAAAAAGAAAGAAAGAAAGAAAGAAAGAAAGAAAGAAAGAAAGAAAGAAAGAACGAAAGAAAGAAAGAAAGAAAGAAAGAAAGAAAGAAAGAAAGAAACTGTCAGAATTGACTTTTTAGGAAACCTCAAAATTAATCAAAGGCTTTCAGCAATATGGGGAGCACTTATACAGGAAAAACAGCTGATTCTCAGGAAGAACAGCAAGTTTTGTGATGTTTTAACTTACTCTACTCCCATCCCCCACCATCCAGCTCAGGGTAATCTTGAAAATAACAGTACCACATTCCCAGTACCAGAGGTAGAAGAATGCACTGCATTCGCAAAGAATTAAACAATATTCATCCTAGCTAAAAAGTGGAAACAACCCAAATGTCCATCAACTGATGAATGGATAAACAAAATGTGGTACATTTGTACAATGAAATATTATTCAACCCTAAAAAGGAATGAGGTACTGATGCATGGATTAACCTTGAAAACATTATGCTAAATGAAAGAGCCCAGATACAAAAGACTGCACGTTGTTTGATTTCATTTATATAAAATGTCCAGACCAGGCAAATCCATAAGGATAGAAAACAGATTAGTGGTTTCTAGGAAATGAGAGGAGGGGGAACTGGGAGTGACTGCTAACAGGTAAGAAGTTTATTTTTGGAATGATGAAAATTTTCTGAAATTAGATTGAGGTAATGATTGCACAACATTGTGAATATGCTAAAAACTTTGTACAAATTAAAATGGCGAATTTTGTTACTTGAATTTCAATTAAAATTGCGCTCTCTCTCTCTCTCTCTCACACACACACACACACACACATACACACACAAAACTCAAGGAGATCCACAACTTCCCTATGACCCTATTAACTATAGTTTTATGATTCGATCAACATCAAAATCCCTATAAAAGCTGTATTAATTAGGGACATTGTGTGAAAGTGACTAAGATGTTGGCATGTGGAAGAGAAGGTGTCCCACTGCTTAGGATAGCTGGTTTGGATCACATACAAACCACCATCACAGGCTGTTCTCTTTGGGCTCAAGGTCAATTTTAGGAGTTATAAAGACCTTGGACACAGTCTTCTGAGGGGTATGGCAAAAGCCAGTTGATTTCACACTTCGTTGAGGAACAGCTAACATCTTGAATTCCATGAAAACACAAGGCCAAGACAAACGATAATGATTGAAAATGACCTATAATTAGATCAATGTAAGTAATTGAATTCTAAGTAGATTCCTGGTACTAGCTACAAAGTGGAAAGGAAGAAGAAGTTGGCAATCTTGATTTGAAAGATGTCTTTCTTGTTTTATGGCCATCATTATCATGAGTATAAGTGATGCCCCACTATTCTGGATAATTTTTATGTGCCAGACCTTGGGAAATGTGCTTTAACTGCTAGTACACATAGAAAGTATTACTATTATTCTTTTTATACTTATAGATCCAATATAAAGAGGTCAAGAAGATCCAGGATTGGCACACAAAGCTCATGTTTCCAACTTATTCCCAAACTATCCCCTGGAGTGCCTGTCTAGTAACCAACTCCATCAACCTCTCATGAACATTTTAGCCTAAATTGCTAGTTTTTGTTGGCATTGAGACACTGAATAGAAACAGTTAGAGCTCTGGGAACCTGTCTATGTTCCCTTTAGAGGTATTGCATGGCTCCACTGGCCTTTGGAGCAGAGCCAATTCCCATATCAAGGTCAGTTATTTTTTTTTTGTTTGTTTGTTTGTTTTTGTTGTTTGTTTTTGTGAGCAGAAGGTAAGCTGAGACAGAGACTAACAAAAATTCAGTGAGGTGAGATGGAAGACAGACTCTTAAGGAAGAGATGTAAGTTCACACACAGTCGATGCTGGAAATGGAGAGCAGGTTTCGGTCTGAGAGAATTATAGGGAACTCAAGAGCAGAATTTCCAGGCTCTGTACTTCAAGCTTCACCCAGAAAGGATGCAATGTGAATCCTGATTCCACCTATATCCTTATAGACAGCTACTTTTCTTCAATAACTAGCTGGGTTGGGCCTTAGTCCCTTGGTTCCGATCAAATGGCCCTTACAGAGATAATATACTCTACATCATTAAATGTTGAGTGTCCTCATGATCATATATACCTTAAGGCATCCATTTACTCCTTAGCAATATTTTCTCCAAAGGCACTCATATTTCTGGCAAATAACAAGCTAGTAAACAGGATTTAAAATACCACCCACCTGAATTCCCAGTTTCAGAGATGAAGTCTTCAAACCTCGTTTCCTTTTTTCCTGAATCCACAGCCATAGCTGCATCATTGCTCACTCATTCTCTTCATCCTCCCATGTAGACCTGTCACAGATTCAACCACTTAGGAATTATCTGTGTAATTCCCATGTCGGATGAGATTGAGGCCTGCATGACTATGATTTTTTTAACCAAATAAAAGTTTGAGCACAAATTTCAATAAATACAATACCTACAGCCACTCAATTCAGTGAGTCTGGACATCAACGTCATACAAAAAAAGAAAACACACTAAAATTAATGAACACATTCTGTCTATTGATTCATGTGTTTTTAAACGGAAAACTGAAGGACAAATTAGGATAAAGAACTCACAGATAATTGAAGCAGTCCATGTTGATATGATAGGAATGAGACAAGTGCTAGAAGTATATCACAACATGCATCTGGACATGATATTCAGGCCATGCCAGTTAGAAATAAAAGCTACTAGACCATTAGGTTTGGAGGTGATTTTGTGATGAACTGTGTCTCCCGACTGATCAACAGGGTTAAGTTAGCTACAGTAGATGGCCAGAGAGGAGTTCCCTTTCTCTATCAGGAGCCTTATGTATGTCTCCAAAGCTAAATATTTTGTTGGAAAGTATACTTTCTCAAAATAAAAAGAGTCATTCTTTCCTAAAGAATCCCATGTAGACTCAGAACTGAGACCCAAATATATTTGCTATAATACCTGCCATGTTTGTGCTACTCCCTTAAAATATAATAATTCTCCAATGTAATGAATCTCCACCATACAAAGCAGAGGTTATGGTATCATTAGATCCTGTATTCCTCAGTATGAAAACTCTTTGAACACACCAAGAAAAAAAAAACAGTGAATTTAGTCATAATAAGGTAGAATGAAAACACCTTATACTAACAGATGTCAGTCAAGAAGAAATCGGCACTTTCGCACTTGGGCAAATTTAGAGAGTAATTCAAGGCTGTAACAGGCTTATTTTAAATAGGAAAGGCCTTTCATGTATGGTAGGTAATAGGTATGCTGGGTAAGCATGTAGGATATCTGGAGTTAGAAAACTTGAGTAGAATTTCTTCCTCCAACTCTTCCCAACTATGTGAACTTGAGCATAACTTAGTTAACCTAAATCTCAATGTTCTCATCTGTAAAATGGTTTAGGTTTTTCCTCTTGGATACTCCAATGGCATCTTGTACATCCTGCCTTCATTTTAGTATTGATCTCACTATGTTGTAATTGCCTAGTGACTTATCTGTATCACTCACGTTTTCACAGTATCATCCCCTATCTATAATGTAGAGATTTTGAATAAAATCTCTATATTATAGTTTTTGAATAAAAATTACACCAACAGGTGTAATTACTGAGCCTTGGGGAATGCTTATCTTGTGTTTCTGAATGGCTCTCTAAAGTGGTTGAACCAATTTGCACTCCCACGAGAAATGTGTGAGTTTCTACTTCCCAACATCATCACCACACTTGATGTTTTCAGTCATTGAATTTTTTCAGTGATGACTATAAAATGAGCAATCATTTTAATATGCATTTACCTGATTACTAGCAAGGTTGAGTATTTTTTATATGCTTCTTGTCCAGTTGGGTGTCTTTTTTTATGAAGTGCCAAATTACATCCTTGGCCCATTTTCCTGTTGGGCTGTTCGTCATGTTGATTTGTTGTCACTCTATATATTCTGTGTATAAATCTATTCTATGGCTTTAGAAATCTTCAGTCTGTCTGTGTGTCTTGACTTTTCACTTTTTATAATGTCTTTTGAATCATTTATACCAGTTGGTATTAATAAATCAGTATTCTGTTTATTTGAACATTTCTTCACAAGCATTTGAAATAAATAAATTATAAAGGGTTTAAATGTAGATTATGAGGAATTAATTAAAGATTAGTAGTACTAGGAGAATTCTTATCTTTTCCTCTTCAAGTGCTGGGATATTGAGAATAAGTTTAAAGCAAAAATGCAATTATCTTGAGACATTTCCTTGGCCTTCAAAATCTAGGTAGCAAAAGCTTATTCTTAAAAAAAAAAATTAAAAGAAAACACCAAATACTGGCAAGAATGTGAAACAACAGGAACTCTCATTCATTGCTGGTGAGAATGCAAAATGGTACAGCCAATTTGGAAGACAGTCTGGCAGTTTCTTACAAAAATAATTGCTTCATCAAAACCATATAATCCAGCAGTTGCATTCCTTGGTATTTACCCAAATGAACTGAAAACTTATAACCACACAAAAACCTGCACACAAATGTATATAGCAGCTTTATTCATAATTGCCCTATCTTTCAATAGGTGAATAGATTAATAAACTGTGGCATATCCAAGTAATGGAATATTATTTAATGCTAAAAAAAAAAGAGCTACCAAGCCATGAAGACATGGAGGAACCTTAAATGCACATTATTAAGTGAAAGAAGCCAATCTGAAAAGGCTACATACTGAATAATTCCAACTATATGACATTTTGGAAAAGGCAGCACTATGAAGACAGTATAAAAGTCAGTGGCTGCCAGAAGTTGGGGGGAGAAAGGAATGAATAAGTGGAGCACAGAAGAATTTTAAGGCAATGAAAATACTTTGTATGATAATATAATGATGGATACATGTCATTACAGATTTGTTAAAACCTATAAAATGTACAACGCCAGGAGCAGATCATAATATAAACTATGGACTTTGGGTTATGGATGTATCAGTGTAGGTTCACCAGTTGTAAGAAATGTACAGCTCTGGTGGGGGATGCTGATAATGGGAGAGGCTACGTATGTGTGGGTGCAGGGGGTATATGGGAAATATCTTTATATGTGCATGTATAGAACCTTCTTCTTAATTTTGTTGTGAGCCTAAAACTGCTCTAAAAAAATTGTCTAAATAAATAAAATGCATTTCTCTGAAGAACAAAGTTGAACACATTTTAATATGTTTAAGTGACATTTTAACATTCCTTCTCATGAATGTCTTTTCAAACAATTTTTGCAGAATTTTTGGTCTTTTATTCCTCTATTAAAAAAAATTCTTCGTATATTTGGAACATTAGCCTTTTAACTGTAATATAAATTTTGTAAATGTTTTCTCCTAGTTTTTTTCACTTTAATAATCTTTTGTTATTATAGAAACAGTACATATGCATTGCAGTAAAATTAGAAAATATAGAAGAATGAGAATAAGATATTAAATTACATATCCCCACCATCCAGAGATTACCACCGTTAACATAATTAGATTCTTTTGTATCATCTCAAAATTTCTTGTTTAAATCCTTCTGGGCCATGATATAATGATTTTGAATACATAGCTAGATTTGTTTCATTAATATTTTATTTATGACATACCTATTCTCCTTGGTGAAAGTGCTCTATTGTCATGGTTCTTTTTTCTCAGGTGTAGTATTGAATTTACTATTGTATTTGGTTGCAGAATATTAATACAGGTTTACACAGATAAATATTTATAAACTTGCAGTGATTTAAACTTGTGTGCAAATCATTTCACATTCTTACCATTGAGAGGCAGGGTTTATATCTCCTCTCCTTAAATCTAAGCTTAGTGACTTGCTCATTTAAAACAGCTTACCCTGAAATAGCCTTACACTCTTCATTTACCTGATAGGAAAAGAAGCTTTATTCAAAGTTTTTTCCAAAAATGAGCTAACCTGACAGCAGGATTTAATAAATTAGTGGTCTCTAACACTTTTGGCATATTACATATATAAGTATATTCATGACTTTTATTAGAGCTTTTAAAATTAAACTTTAAAAAAATTAAGTCAAAATAAAAGGTTATGAACTGATGTACTTCCACTATACCCATATTAGTCAGCTAAGGTTGCCAAAATACCACAGACTGGGTGGCTTAAACAATAGAAATTTATTTTCTCACAATTCTGGAGTCTAGAAGTCCAAGTTTAAGGTGCCATCTGGGTTGGTTTCTGGTGAGGACTCTTCCTAGCTTATATGTAGATTTCTCCTCACATGACCTTTCCTCTGTGTGTGGGGAGAGAGAGAGAGAGAGAGAGAGAGAGAGAGAGAGAGAGGTGTCTGGTGTCTCTACGTCTTATAAGGACACCAGTCCTATTGGATTATGGCCCTATCCTCATTACCTCATTCAGTTTTTGTTACCTCTTTACAGGCCCTATCTATAATATAGTTACATTGTGAGTTGTGGCTTTAACATGAATTTTGGGGAAAACAATTTAGTCCATAACAATATCCTTGAATTCCCTGAAACATACTAGGGGGGAAAAACTAATCTAATTCAGCTTGCTTCTTTATCCTATGAGGAAGTAGGCTCAGAAGAGTATTGTGGCATTCTTGAGTTAATATGGCTGGACTATAACTCAGGTCTCTCAACTATCTAGGGTTTCTCCTGCTACAACGAAAGAGATGCTTTTCCTCCTTTTGTTCTTATCCATTTTAGTCTAAAAGCTTCCTCTCATTTCTCATAGGGCTCCTTGCCTAGGGACCATTCTTTACTGAACTGTTTGAAAACATCTATTTTTTCCCAAGCAGTTGGCAGACAACTAAGATTCAAAACCTAGCTCAGCCTGAACTTGGCTGAACCTTGGTACTCTCCACTCCACAGCACACAGCTAACTCTGGCAAGTTATTGTCTCCTGGGCCTCAGCCCCACTGGTAAATTGGGCTGACTATGCTTTACCTGCCAAATGGCTGGGCTGAGTCAGTGAAGCCACAAGACCCTCAAGCTCTAGGATTAATGAGAACTGACTGGGATCTACAATTCTATGACACGGACTACTTCCTCCTTACTCTCTCATCATAGTTAGTGATTAGCAGAAACACATTGTGAAAGGCATCAGCCCTGCCCTCAGCCAGAACCTCTTTCCATTCCTGGGATGGTGGAGGTTGTAATGGTGGAATTGTCATTACACTAGCAGAGTCAGTTATAAGAAGGCCCTGGTCTCTAAGGCCCTTTCTTCATTTAGGGTATTCCAAGAAACCCTGACCTTGCTGAGGATTCTGTCTGTATAATAATTATTAGTTTTTTTGTTTATTGAGATGTAATTCACACACCATCACCACAATCAATTTTAAAACATTTTTTAGCCCCCAAAGAAACCTCATATGCATTAGCATTTCTTTCCCCATTCTCTTCCCCAGCTCTAATCAGACACTAATCTACTTTCTGTCTCTATAGATTTACCTATTATGGACAAACTTTTGATTAATTTTTTACATTTTTAAAGTTATTGTCACCATTTTTGATAGTATTTATATTGCTATTATGGAGAACTGTGGATGAAAAAGTAACCACATACTAAACCTGACAAGCTCAGGGGAGGCATGCATGGAGGACCTTACAAACTCAGATACTGCAAGTAACCACAAAGGACAGTCTGAACATAAAAATTCCTAAGTAAAAGCAGATCGTGGTGGGTAGTCAGGTCCTAGGCCTGTATCTTCCTTGACAAAGGTCAGTTTTTATCTTAAGTGAGCCTATCTATTGTCTTTTTGCATTTAAGATAACATACCTTTGAATGTCAGAGTAATCTTCTTTTCCAGACCTCTCGGGCACAATTACTACAACCAGAACACAAGACCAAAGAAACTTTCATAGTTATCTTGTTCCCTGCATACCATCTCCATGTGCTGTAAATGTTAATTGTTAACTCTCCTGTACCCACCAATGTAGAAAAAAAAGTGTATATTTCTCTATTTTTGCTGTTTTATCCAATCTCAGAGATTTCCCTACTTTGCTTTCTCCCATCCATTTGATCTACCACCAATGGATTTCATGTAACCCTCCTTATGTCTCCTCCTTTTATTCTAATGTATAAAATAAGCTGCAAAACTGCCATTCTCCCGAGTATTTTCTAAATCTGTTGAGATTTTGCTTCCTGGAAATTGTCATCAGTTTGGCTCAAATAAACTCATAAAAATTCTCGACAGGTTTGGA